GCGATATGGGCCGGATTGTTCTGACTGAGGATAGAAACCAGTGGAGGGCTCTTGTGAATACGGTAATAAACTTTCTGCTTACATAAAATGCTGGGGCGTTCTTGAGCGCTGAGCGACTGGCGGCTTCTCAAGGGGGCCTCAGCTCCACGGGGTTAGAGAGGCAGACGATTCCATTTCTTTGTGCTCCTCTGTTTCAGTGCCTTCTAAGTGAGGCTAGTTGCAATGACACTTTAAAGCCTTAAACTTTTTAGTCATTGACTCGGGACTTAATGACACTTTAATGATCTTAATTAGCGAGAGGTATGCAAATTTGATGCAGGTCGGTAGACGTTGCTTCGTGTATTCGCATCTGATATTCTTTTCGTTTGTTGCGTAACAATGGTTGCAAGATGGCCGGCCATGGCCTGCTTACTAATTAGCAGCAATGCGAAGGCATTGTTTTCCTGGCCACGCTACGATATGATTACTCGTAACAAAGGACTCGCACAACTGATTCCCGCTGTTGCGTTCTTGGATTAACCTTTGTATATGTCATATAATGGAAACAATATAGGAATGTTTAATTAGTATTCATATTGTTAATGTATATAAAATGGAAGAGAATGGACGGTGCTTGCTGTTAAATCTGAGACGAGCGAACGTACCTAAATAGGGCAGATAGTTTGTTTTGTTCCGTTATGCGTAAAACGAAGTATAATACTTTTGTATAAAATCTATGTTGTATTCTGTGGAACGGCAAACGATTGTTTGAAGCCTTTAAAGGATAGTGGTAAGGATATGTACCACTTGCTGTAACATTAAAAGTACTCCACATTTCGCCCACAGAGTGTCTTCATGTGTTTTTATAAAAAGGTAAAGCAATCCCTGTAACAGGCCGTGAAGGCCTATAGGGTTGTGAGACGTCGAGGCTCCCACATTTTCTACACAGTCGGCTCACAGATTGTGAGGTTGTCAGACTTACGCGCCGGCCTCTATTTACCCCAGCCCCCTAAGGAAGATTCGTTGTACTCGTTTCTTTTAGAGGCTGAGTCGACCCCTGGGCCATAGTGCGGCAGGAAGGATTAGATAAATTGAAAAAATTCACCTCATCAGGACTCGACCCCGCGACCTGCTAGCTTGTAGTATAGTACCTCAACCAATTACGGTACCACGTGTCTCCTGTGTGTTCCATGTGGTTCTCACAATAAACAGCGATTATTTCCCTAAACAGCATTAACCAGTTGGGCTTTGTAGCGGAGACGTAATGTGTTTCCTGTGAGGTACGAACTGAACTTATTTGTCTAATTTATATGAACTTGATATTTCGTTGGCCACAAATCATTCAGAAGTTGCTTGGATTGTCCGCCACCTCAAATCACGCAAAGCACCAGGGCCTGACGGGATACAGAATATAATACTTCAGCATCTGCCGCGGTTTGTTTTCAAATTTATTGCAAAACTGTTTAATAGATCACTTGCCCTAAATTATTTTCCTACACAATGGAAAGAGGCAAAAATTATTATGCTTCCGAAACCAGGCAAAGACCATACGTCCCCACTAAATTATAGACCAATAAGCCTTCTAAATTCTTTAGGTAAACTTTTAGAGAAAATCATTCTAAAAAGACTAAACTTCGAACTTAGGAAGCTGCAAGCTATCAGAAATGACCAATACGGTTTTAAAAGAGGTCACTCCACAACACATGCGTTGTTAAGGAATGTGGAGCGCATTACGCACGGTTTCAACAATAACAAAGCTACAGTAACGTTATTCCTGGATATTGAACGAGCATTCGACAAGGTCTGGAACACCGGGTTGATTGCTAAACTCATTTCGGCCAAAATTCCACCTCACTTCATTCATATAATACATAACTACCTCCAGAATCGATTCTTTTTTGTAATGCACAAAAACTATTATTCAAACCTACGCCCCATTCAGGCCGGAGTGCCTCAGGGCAGCTTACTTGGACCCACACTCTTCAATATTTATATTAATGACATTCCTTCAATTGAAAATGACTCCAACATAGCCATATCGGTCTATGCTGATGACACGAATATTAGTGTTCGGTCAGGCAGCATAGATATAGCAGTCAGAAAGTTAAACTCTGCCATACGCCTCTTAGAACCATGGTTCCGGAAGTGGAGAATACATATTAATGCAAAAAAGTGCACAATTACACTCTTTTCTAAACGACTGCGACATCAGGGCTGCAGTAAGCATCAAGTAAAGATTTTTAACAAAACCATATCTTGGACTAAGGAAACGAAGTATCTTGGTGTTACACTTGACTCAAAATTAACCTACCGTACCCACATATCCTGTATTTTGCGCAAAGCTAATTACAGACTCAGACAACTGTATCCTATATTAAATAAATCCTCCACAATTGACATTAATTTAGCGTTGGTAATTTATAAATCACTCCTCCGTTCCATATTGTCATATGCCTCCCCCGCGTGGGGCTATGCTGCCAACACTCACATAAATAAATTACAGACATTTCAAAATAAAGTCCTCAGGATAATAACAAAATTGCCGAGGGTAACACCAATTACAACCTTACATGAACAGACGGGAATGTCATCAATAAAAAGTCATTTCAAGAGGTTAGCGAGGACATTGTACCAGAAATCGGTAACCAGCGAAAACAGTCAGATTCAGGCACTAGGACACTACGATCCCACTGGTGATAAACATCTGCGTCCCTTATCCCTGCTTGCAAGATAATCAGCTTTAAGATCTCTTTACAGGTAACCGGATGATTGCAACTCCCTAAATGCCCAGTACGCCCGCGGCCACATCGACCAATCACCACACCTATGCTGGACAAGAAAAGTAGATGTGATTAAAAAAAAAAAAATTTTAATTATAAAATCTTGTCATTGGACGAGCAACAACCCTTTGCCCCTTCACAACAGTGATTTAAATTTATCAACTTGAACAGTTAAAACCCTTTACAAATGTGATACACAAATGTTTGCTGCTCATCCAAAGTATGCAAAAAAAAAAAATGTAGAAAAACAAATGTAAACTTTTGAAATAAAGGAACAGGACACACAGGGTCTAATGTTAGGGTTCGCGTATTTAAGCCGGACTGCTGGCTAGAAGTCAGTTTGTATCCGGAAGGTCCTGAGACCGGCCAGCTCGACCAAGGTTTTCCGTGGTTTTCCTCGGTACTAGAGCAAATGCTGAGTTGGTACCCAATTCCACGTTGCACTGCATGCCTCACATGCAGCCCTCCCATTGTTAACATCAAAATTTCGCCTTAATATAGCCCTCCCAACGTTAGCAAAAACAAACAAACAAAAATCAGATTATATGCTCTATCTTTACCAGAAGGACAAGCGGGCACTGCCTGGGAACCTTCAAAATCTGAGATATAGTTTCTTCCCCCCCCCCCCCCCAATGTAGTGTCTCTCACTACGACCACCACTTCTTCTTCTCTCTCTCTCTTGATATTTCGATGGTTTGGGCGAGTAAGACATTAAAATACGGTCATGAGTCTCGCGAGACTCGGAACCAAGAATGGCTGTGTTGTAGAAGGCCAGCAGCAGTTTTCCCGACTAGAATGAACTTGATTAATACATTGTTCCCGCAATTCTGTAAGACCTTTACGCCGTCTGTACCGGTCAGCGCAATATTGAGAGAATGCCGGGGCACACCCCAAGGTGGTGATTCCCCATGGAACTGAACAAACACTGTAGAGTCGGGAAGTGCTAATTGTGTCAGCACTCATTACATTAGAGAGGAGGTGACGTTCGGTTCCTGACCTGCCACCCTCTACACGGTTTGCCTATCGAAAGGGGGCAAATGTGGACGATACCGTAGCACTGTACCAATTATCCAGACTGCGTGTAAATTTACAGTCGACACTAATCGATTACAGTCTGTGTACTCTGCGACTAATCGATACTGCTCGCTAATAGAGCCTTAAACAAGTGCTTGTGGAGTGCGGGGACAACGGAGGACATGAAATATGAATGATGCTAAGTAGAGGATAGGTTTGTGTGAATGGGAATGAAAGTGGGAAGGTGTGTGGGAAGCAAACTTTTCGCAGTGGTGTGTGGGTTCACTGTTGGCCTCCCCTCCTCTACCCAAGTACGAACTGTACAGTAAGCTAGTAAGATCGGCCATGCTGCCAGAAATATTGCTGATGCATTATGACGCAATTGTCGGTGGTTCCGGTGCACTCTGAATAGCAAAGCACAGGTGCCACAGTGGTTAGCATATCGACCGCTGACAGTAATGTAGGCTAAATATAGGCTTAATGGCTCTCAACGTGACGGAGTGTCGGCAACGGCGAAAGCGTCTTGGGAAGCTGATAATGCCCATTGCAACTTCAGTACCGGTTAGTAAGGTTTAGTCTTACGGCCGGAGTTACTAATCTTCACCATATATTATTAGAATGATCAAATCAATGGGGGGCGGGACATGTAGCACGCATACGGGAAATGAAAAATATCAGTAAGACACAAAGGAAGAGAATCCCTGCGTACATAACCGTATATGATAAAAAGTGTAAAGTTATCCCTGTCCTTAATTAATTAAGCACCACGTCTTGAAGACGCATGGGGAGTGGAGGTATAGCTCCACAGTTTTTATTCTCGGCACTAGATGAAAGTGAATGGTCAGATAATGCCTCAGCCGCTTTACCCCCCCCCCCTGGGGAAAAGCTCCCGACGCCTGGGTGAGCACCAGAACCGGTCTGGACGCTGTGGAATAGAGAAAAATCTCTTGCCCCTGCCGGGAATCGAACCCGACCGTCCAGCCCGTAGCCCATCTATATACCGATTGAAATATCGCGTCTGAGGGAAGGTAATACTAAAATGAATTTTAAATGTAGTCTGAGAGTAGTGGAATGGATTCAGGGGTCTCAGATTAGGGACCAGTGGCAAGATTGTGAACCATCGAGTACCGTAAAATGTGTGCTGTTTCTTGGAAGACTGAATGACTGTTATCTTAGTAAGGAGAACCCTGCTACTCGGTTAATTAAGGCGAATTGTTTTCTCCACAGATGGAACGCCTGTGTCGAAGCCCCCGGCGAAACGCAAGAAGGAACCCACAACACCAAAGCAACAGCCCCCACAGCAGAACACGACGTCCCCCAGCATTGTGTCTGATACACAAAGTGGCGCTCTCAGTGACGGGGGTCACGGCTCTGACGGCGAGCGCAAGCGGAAGAAGGCGCGGACCACGTTCACCGGCCGCCAGATCTTCGAGCTAGAGAAGCAGTTCGAGCTGAAGAAGTACCTATCGTCATCGGAGCGGGCGGAGATGGCGAAACTGCTCAACGTCACCGAGACGCAGGTACGGCCCCGCTTTTTGTTACTTTAACAGCAAAGCTCTGCGTTCTGAGCACACAATGTGTTCATGTGTTTTCGTATGGTTCTCACAACAAACAGCGATTATTTCTCTAAACAACATTAACCGGTTGGGCTTTGTAGGGGAGACGTAGTGTTTTTCCTGTGAGATACGAACTGGATTTATATATACTGCATTCTGCCCACACAGTGTGTTTATGTGTTCCGTATGGTTATCTTAATAAACGGCGATTATTTCCCTAAACAACATTAACCGGTTGGGCTTTGTAGCGGAGACGTAATGTGTTTCCTGTGAGGTACGAATTGAATTTATATATACTGCATTGTGCCCACATAGTGTATTTGTCTGGTCTGTATGATTCTCACAATAAACAGCGATTATTTCCTTAAACAGCATTAACCGGTTGGGCTTTGTTATGGAGACGTAATATGTTTCCTGTGAGGTAATTAATTAAGCTGAGGGACAACTACCTTTTACCCAGGAATATGTCAATTTAGTGCTGCCTTGGGGCCGAAATTTGAGAATGTATTTCCTGTAGCGAAGTCATTTTTTATTTTAAAGCCTCAGGTAAAAACATTACGAAAAGGTTATATTTTCTTAAATATGCATCTTCAAAGTTTTGAAAACAAGTATCTCTTTTAAATGATTTTCAAATATACTGTATCAAATACGTCTTCTAGGGTTCGTCGTTGTGACATGGTTATGTGCGTCGTTGGCGACATCATTGCATGAGAGGAACCAGTAAAGGCTCCATACCGGACGTCTGTTTCAGTCTGTAAGGTTGCCTGCTTAATGCGTGGTGCAGCGGCCTCCGTAGTCTAGAGGTAACGTTCCCACCTCATGACTCGTAGTACGCGGGTTCAAATACCCGGCGGAGGTCGTCGAATTTTTAAGGGCGGAAAAAATTCAGGAAACAAGTCCTCCGGGAGGGACTTTAAGCCTTGGGTCCCGTGTCGTAGCTTTACGGCACGTAAAAGAACCTCATATCTCCAAAGGAGGTCACTGAGCCAAATTCCGGACGTTTCCCGCCCAACAGCAGTCTCTAATACCTCTAGTAGATGGGGGAAGCATTATAGATACCTCTCAGCTAGTAGAGCCGGTCTCGCTGGCTGGGCGGGACTGATGGTAAGCACCAGTACCGGTAGGATATAGAGACTGGTAGAATATCATAGAGGGAAGCACAATGGACCAATACAGGCCTAAGTGCATGGGGAAACCCACCCTCTCCAATAACTAATTAACTAATGCGTGGTGCACACTTAAGAGATGTTTCAGGCAAGCGTAGTGGAGCTGTATTTATTGTAAAGCAATGAGAAGGAAGGTGCAAAGTAAGGTAAATTTGTCCCTATGCTTAACTAATTAAGCACTAGGCCATGAAGGCGTATAGGGGAGTGGATATATAAATCCACATTTTCTTAACCTCGGCAGTAGCTGGAAGTGAGTGGTCAGCTTCAAGCGCCCGACGCTTTACTTCCGAGGAAAGAGCCCCCCATACCCATTGGAGAGGAGGCCGGTTGCCCCCCAGATCCGGTCTGGACGACATGGAGAAGAGAAAATTCTTCACCCTACCGGGACTCGAACTCTGACCCCTCGATCGTCCAGCCCATAGCTAGTTGCTATACCGACAACGCTATCCCGTCTCCGTAGGTGCAAGGTATTCAGTTTAAATGAAATTGAAGAAATGGACAATTATCGTCCCTGTATCACGTGATACCCAGCAGACTGAATTCGTTTATCCCTGGCTTGTACTTAGTTATGTCTGTTGATTAATATTAAAATGAATCCAAAATGAATAGAGTGTGAAGGTGTGGATTGGGTTCCTCTGGCACAGGATATTGTCCAGAGTCCTTTTGTGAACACGGAAAGTGTGAAGTCTTGAGAAGACGCCACTTCTGCAGCTGCTCAAGAACTTCCCAATGTTTTATGGAACCCGAAGGTTCACTACCGTGTTCACAAGAGCCAGCCAGTGGTCCCTATCCTGAGCCAGATCGATTCAGTCCGTACCATCCCATCCTATACCTCTAAGATCCATTTTAATATTATCCACCAACCTATGTTTTGGTGTTCCTAGTGATCTCTTTCCTTCCCACCAATATTATACTATATGTATTGGTCTTCTCCCCCTCGTGCTATATGTCCTGCCCATCTCATCCTCATTGACTTTCTCATTCTAATTATACTCGGAGAAGGGTACAAGTTATGAAGCTCCTCATTATGCAAGGCTACAAGGTTAGATATCTGAGAAGTCGGGATTCGATTCCCAGCAGTCCCGTTCATACTGGATGTAAGGTTCACCCAGTACCCTATCAGTGGACGCTCTGTCCCCGAGAGTAAAGCGACCGGGGCGTGAAGCTCACCACTAACTTCCATCTAGCGCCAACGTTAGGAATGATAGTCATACCTCCACTCCACCATACGTCTTCATAGAGTGTGGCTTTATTAAACACAGGGACACTGTGAGTTAGACAAATACCGTGTGAGCGTGTGAATTGGATTCGTCTGGCTTAGCGGTTGGCTGTTGTGAACCTTATCAGTAGTGATCGCTACTGGGCCGACCAATCCATTGCTGTCGGTATGGGCCTGTACGAGTATATAATTCAGTAATTCATAAAATTGTGTTAACCGCTGCTGGGTTACCGCTTCTTGCACGTAAAGCACTTCGCCCGCCACGGGAGGGCGTCTACCATTGCAACATTGCGTGGGCTTCCTTGGCTCGGCTCTGGAACAAAGGCAGCCCCTTGTAGAGATAGAGTAACCCCCCTCCCACCCTCTTAACGACTCGGCAGACAGGGCTGAGCTTCACTCCCCCCCCCCAGCACCCCCATCACAAGCCGCTAATGGGCTCCGAAAAGTTTTTAAAGGTTAGGTTAGGCAACAAGGAGAAGGAGGCATCTGAGCTGGTTCTGGCGAAGTCACGGACTGTGGTACAGGCGTGGCCAAAGTGTATGCATCACTGTAATTGGATGATTCCAGGATTCTTGGGTACTCTTTCACAGGCGTTGAGGACAATTACGGCTTTAACAATAGGATTAGGCGGCTTTATATTGATGTGGGTAGAGCAGGTTCCCAAAGAAAACTGCTCATTAGCTATGTGAACTCTACCCACGCCTTCCATGCCCATAAATGTTGCTATCTTTCTTGTACAGGAATTACACGTAAAACTTGGATTTAGAATTCTCACATCGGTGTCTGCCTGTCTGAATTGTAATGCCATATGGTCCACTTCCTCCTGGTTTCTTGCTTGGCTTACTTGGCAGTATCTTCTTCCGAAACGTCGGGCGTTGTTCTGAATGACACGTGTTTAGAACCCCAAAGTTGCTCCTCTCATCTCTCTCCGGTGTCTTAGCCGTTCGGTTTATATTTACGAGGGTAGACCGAACTGATTACTGAGCGGTCAGGTCCTGGGTTCGTATTCGGGAGGTGCTCGGTTCGAATTTCGGCCGGGGCACTTGCTGTTATGACTGAAAATTTTCATGATTTTGCTCAGTCCTTCCTATGAGATGCCTAGTTAAGGTGAAGGTGCTTAATAAGTAAGGCCATCTCATAAAGAGGCAGGGTGAATGGAGGTCTAGTTCCACTTCCCTAGATGCAGCTTAGTCGTCTCCATCATGCAAAGCCTGGTTTATCTCTAATCCCACTGGATAGGCAGTGCCAACAATTAAGCCACTGCCACTTCCTTCCAGATCCTTTCCAATCGTCATTCATCCTGCCTTCGATGCTATGTCGTCCTGCTACAGACAGTCTATAAATAACCTCCACCCCACGCGATGGAGTGTGTTCTAGGTTCAGTGTTCGGACATTCCGTGTAAATGTTCCGGTTGTTTGCTTTGATTGCCTCTTTCACAACAGGTCACATCTGCAGATTCTGTTTCTTTGAGATTAATATTGCCCTCCCGTCTGCGTCAGTGTCGATATCGGTGGGAAAACAAGAAGGAAAGAGACCACTAGGAAGACCAGGACGTAAGGGGATGGATAATATTAAAATGAATCTTAGAAGCGCTGGGGTGGTATGGACTGGATGGATCTGGCTGAGGATAGGGGCCAGTTGAGGGCTCTTATGAACACGGTAATGAACTTTAGGGTTCCAGAAAATATTGAGAAGTTCTTGAGTAGAGGCACAATTGTCGGCTCCTCAAGAAGGGCTCAGATACATGAAGTTACTTCTACATCTGGTTCTTCCTAGTGGTCTCTTGTTGTCCGGGGTTCTTAACGAAAATTCGTATGCCCTTCTCGTCCTTGTTCTGATCATTCTAATAATATTTGGTGAAGACTGCAAGGGTGTGAAGTTACGTATTGTGCAGCTTTGCGAGTCTGCTGTTACTTCAGGCCAGAGCACCCTGTTCTCTAACTCCCCTAATCTTCTGAGAGTGGAGGGGTTCTGTCCAGTAGTTGGCTGTCATCTTGAGGTGACGCAGACCTGTACATTGATTTGCCAGCAGAGACTTCTAATGAGCAGTAATAGGAACAAACTGGCATTTGGAAGTTGAATTTTCTGCTTTACTGTGAACATATCTCTTTTGAAGCGTTTCGTATTGGGGAAGATGGACGACAGAAGAGTATTCTCCGCATTAATCTCTTGAGAGTTTCACAGTATCGAGCTCCATTAACTTGCATATCCTGTGGGAGATTATGTCAGCGAGTAAACACTGTGTTGTGGGGGCACGCGGTAGCATAGTTGGTTGAGGTCACTGGATTTTTAATTTACCTAATCCTTCCAGACGCACTATGCCCCTGTGTTCGAGTCAGCCTCTAACAGAAATGAGTACCAGAAATCCTGGTGGGTAAAGGGCGGCCGGTTGCGGGAACCAAACAGGGAACACACAACACGAGACACGATATACACTGAGAGTAAGAGGAACGACTCCCATAGTGGTGGAACTATGCGTGGTGTTAGAATTGGGACAGATAAGATAAATAATCTTAACAAGTTTTTAGTATATAAATATTTATTATAATTGACGAACATTTTTAAATATTTTTTAAAT